CTTTCTGTTGAGAAATACCTAAACTTTGAAAATAGGTAGTTTATGCTAGTTTTATATTAAAGATGGATGAGTGATTATAGAATGTGGTGACCAAAACCATCGAGGAGTGGGATGCTAATGACAGCAGTGTACTACTGAAATGGCTTGGCTAATATTGATAGGCTTCCCAGCTGCTTTGCTATATCATTCTTGTGCATTAGTTTTGAATACATGCTTTTTCACCCTATTCTTCTTTCTCCACTTCTCCTACAGAGTATGCTTTCATGTGTTTACCTTTACATTTTGGGAGAGCTTGTTTTCAGCTAATGTAAATGACAGTTTAAACTCCAGTGAAAGAAGATTCACAGATATGCTACTAAGCTCTCCAAGACAATTTTTTTTTTCTAGTTTTAGGAGCACATTTTTTTTCTTTTTTGGGGGTAGAGGGCTGACTGATTCTTCCAAGAGATTCCAGGAAACTGTAGTCACCTAAGCAAACATCTGAAGTCATGTGCCCAGAGAGGTCCTCTGTGCTGCCAGGATCACTGGCAGTTGCAGTCCTCTGGTCCCAAGTATTAACTAGATTTCTGTAGAATTGTAATTGGTGGTGTTAAGCTTAAGAGAGATTTTAAAACTGACATAGCATCCATTGGTGGAGGCATTTCCTGCTTGACTTCATGTAGATAAATGAATGTGTTCAGTGAGACAAGGGACAGAAGAAAAACTGAAAGTAAATGTTAATTTTTATTACTGTCTAAATTAGATTAAATTGGTGCAGAAACTTGTTTGAGACATTTCCTCATAAATTCTTTTCACTGAAGTAGTATTTGCTCTACTGTTGTTTTGGTCTCCTAGCCATTTTTGGGCTCCTTAGTATTAAAACTGTGTTTCTGTTAATCTGGCATATTTAGATTGGTGTACAATCTGGGGTTCATAAATCTGTCCTGAACAGGAAATCTCTGGTTTAGTGTCTGTTTGAGTAGCAGTCGCTGAATAGAGTGTAGTTGTGGTTCCTGATGGCTTCTGCCCCCACCCCTCTCCAAGCACTACTTCTGTCACAGACAGTTTGTCTTCTGGAGGCACAAAAACAATGTTTTGGATATTTTGTAAACAAATAATACAGTGATGGAATACAAAGAAATCTCACTTGGGTGTAGCCAGACTTTGCTTTTGAGAGTACAAATAACTAATCTTATGCTTGAATGCATTATTTTAGTGATAGTGTTCTCCTGGATGGTATGATAAACATCTAATTCAACTCAGCAGTTGTTTTCAACTTGTATTTCCCTTTGAAGCTAACTGCTTCTGTTGCAGAGTTGAAGAGGCTTGTGCCTCTTAAGTTGTTTCGGTTTTGTTGTGTTTTTTTTTTTTCTCTAGCTCTCTCCTTCCCTTCCTCCTTATTTTGCTTTTTCCCCCCAACTCAGTTGGTCTGGTAAGATGTTATCAAATCTTAGTATTACTAAGAAACTGCATTTTGGCATCAGATATGCTTTAATTAGTTTTCTGTATGGTTTTGAGGTGGGTTTTTTTGCCTTGGCCTAACCTGTAAGGAACCTCAAGAGGCTGTTTTGTCCTGTAATGGCAAGCCTGTAGTTGTGGGTCACAGTGAACTCCCCAGCATAATTCATGCAGTTTGTCATATGTCTGTGGTGCACTCCTTCCTGAGGACTCTCAAACTGGCAGTAATCTGTATATTGGTTTGGCTGGTTTTCTGCCTTGTTTCCCTTTCCCTACTTTATAGGGGTCTAAAAATCTACCTACCATATCACCAGAAGGACCTGGTTATGGGGTATGTGCATGGGTTTTCCTGACCACAGGGTTAGGAACTCTTGTCTCCAGCCACAAGTAGATGGATGTGCATCAGGGCACAGGGACACCTTCATCTTGGCTAGGCAAGAGATGTGGTTCTGGTCAAATTGTGCAGTCCATCTCTAGTCAGTTGATCATAATATTCATGCCCGTCCTGTGAGGACTGTGTATGCCCTGGTTAGACAGAGACAGTTGATGTGGGAGGTTTGTGGTGTATAGCCTTCAAATGCCTCCTTAAAAGCCTATCTGTCCCAGTCCTGCCAATCTAAATCATTAGTCCCAATGAAGGATTGTGGAATATTTGTCTGCCTCTGGAGGATTGTAAGAAGAGGTGAGCTGTGGTCTTCATGGACTACCTCCTCTATAACTATTTCAAAACTTAAGTCTTCACACTAGACGTGTTTCTTTATGAACTAATTGAAATTACCTTTATCTAATATCCTATTTCCTGAGAAGAACACATTATTATAAATTTTACATGTATTTTCTATGTTGTCTGATTTAATTTGGGTTAGTGGTCATCAGTACAGCTCTGTTGTCTTTCCTTTTCCCCTTTGCCTGGAGCTGGCCAGTATTCCCAACAGCATTTATTCTTGCACTGATGGAATACAATTGAGGCTTTGATGCATTAAAGCCCAAAGGGACCATTAAAATTATCTGGTTTCATTTTGACAGCTATAGAATTTCTCCAAGTGTTAGAAAGTGGCAGTGGCCATACTAGCTTAACTGAAGCTGTGTCTAACTCAGTGTCTGAGCTCCAATGACTGCCAAAAGTGAATAGCTAGAGAAAAGTAAAAATGCTAAGCTGGACATATCCTCTGAACCCTTTCTGATTAGGGGAGTTCTTGAGCTGTTGCAGGTTACATTGTTTTAGTACAATGCTTAGTAGCTCAGTAGACTAAGGAGTGGATTAGTTGAGTGAGAAGTTGTAGAGGCAGATTCAGAAGGAATTAGGTGAATTCAAAGATAGCAGGTCTTGTAAGCAGTTACTGAAGTGCATAGGAACAACTGTGTGGTAGCAGTTGTGGGTGCTGGACTGCAGAAAGCAGCCAGTCTCTTCCAGTCTCCTAAGCAGTATTGCCCACTTCTGTGTAAGACACAGTCTAGCTGGACCCATAGCCTGACCTGGTAAAGCATTATTGTCTCATTAGTAACCCACAGGGATACTTAGAACTTGTCCAGTCTCTTCTTGTTTCCATGTAAATTTTTTGTGCCAATGCTGTGTTTCAGCAAGAAATTGCACTGGTGTCTTAAGTGAAGAATGACCCTTTTCTGGTTTTGAATCTGGTTCCTGCTTGCTTTGCTTAATCACCTTAGGTGCATTATAGTTAACTGAAAGCCATTCTACCTGCTATTTTCATGCCTTCCATGATTTTCTAATATTCTTTCATATCCCCTGTAAATCATCTCTTATCTAAGGTCCCAGCTTCCACTATTGTTGCTTGCATGGAAACTGCTTCAAGCCCAGGTTGCTTTCTCCATTAAGTTCGAAGCTATAAAATGCCTTTACATCAATGTGTGTTTGTCATAAACTACTTCTGCTACTAACTTGTATGTACTGAATCATAGCCACATTTAGTACCAGCCTCTTGACATTTTTTTGCCTTTGCTGTCTGTTCAAGTCCCCAGTAAAAAAGCATTATGTATACATGTGAATGAAGATAAAGCAACAACTATGTTTCTTTAATAAATTGCATAGAGCTTTCTTAATTTACTGATGTGTAAGATGGGTTTTCCTAGACTTGTGTGTCCTGTTACAGACAGAGCTTCCTACTCCTCTCCAGCAGGAAAAAAAACACAAAGTGCCTGTGAATGGTTGATACAACTTTTGCCTTACTGTTTCCAGAGCCAAGGTTTTACCTTTGACCATGTATAAGCTACTGTAAGTTGACAAAAATCTGTTGGTGTTTGACATCTAGGAAATGAAGCTTGAAGCACAGTGGTGCTTTGTGTCAAGTGCAAAAGCAAGCCTCCTATCACATGTAATTTGTATGTAGACCCCTACCTACCCACCTGACAGTAGTGATATACTGTACGGATGTGTTATGTTGTACTTCATTGACCCCTTAGAAAAATTTAGGTGCTTCTAGCCTAAACATAACATCTTGTAGCCAGAACAAAATGATTCATAGTTGAAACTGTTCTCTAAGTAACACTGGATCAATTTGCCCTGTACTGTAATTGTCTGTATTGACCTGTTTGTTATCATGGCCACAGACAACACAGAATTGCCATTCCTTTTTGCTCAGTGGGGAAGTGAGTCAGCTTGTATTAGATCCTCTTTTTCTTTTTCATAAGCTAGACTTTCCTGAATTTGAAAGCTTTTTACTAGAACTTGCAACGCAGCACTCTAGTGCATGTGAAACTTTAATTCCGTGCACCAGTACCTCTTCTGTAACAGAACGGAAGAGATTGTGGTTTAACCTGTGCCATGTATGCAAGAAGACCTTTTTTTTAAAAAAAAAAAAAAAATCAGGTAGAGGGGGGCAAGATTTAGGGTTGCAAAGCAAGAGGCATATGCTGTAGAAACCATTGCCCTGTATGTGTGCTTGTTTGAGAATTTTTCTGATTAGGCCTAATTCACAAAATAATTTAGGTGTTCAACTTCTTTATCAGGACTGACATGCTGAAAGACAGACCTGTGTAGATCTAGACATATATTAGAGGAGCTGAAGATTGGACTGACACTTGAGTTAAAAGCTAGCCAACATTTGCCAAAAATCTTTGTGTAATTCTATAAACAGAAACGGTATTGAATTGTATCGGGTGAAGAAATAGCTAATGAGCAATCCAAATCTGCTTTTGTTGATACTCTTTTTTGAAATATATGTAATTATCAAAATGGTGGTTGATGAAATGGCATGATAAACAGAAGATGACTTAATTCAGAAGCCTAGGGTATTGATGTAGAGTCCTTTTCATTTTTTTTGTTTTAAAGCATACTTGCTTGACTTTTGGGGAGAAATTAGTTTATATGTAAACAGCATACAACATTGCAAGTAAACTGTTGGCAAATGCTAGTATAATTTTTTTTTTTTAAACAATTTATTTGTTCTAAGCAGGCCCAGCATCCATATAATGTAGACTTCAGTGCGGCTGAATACCATCAGAGTGGTTTGTAGTGTGATTGGGTGTTAATTCACTGTTTCTTCTTTTAGTTGTTTTTTATAATCTTCTTCCTGTAATACAGTTTTTCCTTTTACTTTTTTCAGAAAATCAAGATGGCCTGCATCAGGTAGTACATGAACGCCTGGGGGAGTTGTTACGTGTTTTAAAAGCAGTGATAAATAAACACCAGACTCTAAACTCAGTTGACATTCTTAGTGCTGCAGGAACAGTTATTGCAAAAGTAAAAGGTAAGGAATTACTGCCTTTCATATTCTTGAAAAATTGTAATTAGTGGCTTGATTGACTGTGACTTGGAGTTATAGATAGGATTCTATGTATACAGAAGAAACAGGGTTTTTTTAAAAGTAATACCTTAACACTTGTTTAAAAATACATTCTCTAAGTGAAAACTAATATTAAATAGCTTGTTCTCCTGCTGATCTTATAAAATTCTGCTCATAGGAAGCTAGCTGCAAACCCACACTGAATTCCAAAAGCACAAGCCTTTGATCTTGAGCTTTTCTATACCCATGTATATAAGTGGATAAATTGACATTCATCCACTTACAGATTTGCCAAAAATCTTTGCTCAATTCTATGAATTTGCAGGGATAGTGTTGTATTTATATCAAGTGAAGAAATACATGAATGAGCAATCCAAATCTGAATGGCCTAATAGTTATAAATTCCACAAACAGATCATAAGCATGGTAAAGGTGTTAACAGCAACAAAAAAAGCCTTGCAGACATATGTTTTCCATTGCTGGCCTTTGCCACTGAAATTCTGTGTGTGTCAGACAAATGCAAATGGTGAAGCACACAATTGCTTCAGCCCCATAAACCATAGCTATTTCTTCTCTGTGTAACCTTTGACTGCAACTCTCCCTGCTCTGGAATAAGTCCAATATATTACTGTGACATGGAGAATGCTTTGAGTAGGGATAGATCTCCACCTCTTGCTTCTATTAAATCATGTGGAATATCTCCCTTCAGAGACATATAATTCATTTTTTCTCCTTGTTCTAGGGTTTTTCCCCTTGTTTCCTAATTATCTTAGTATGTCTGAACATACAGTGCTGATTGAGTAAAGCAATAATATCAGTTAAAATGCTAATATGTTTAGCTGCCTGATTCCTGTATCTTGTATTCTTCCAGGCTTCTTACGGATTTTTGCTATTGATATATAGTTTTTCAAGTTTGATCTTGGCAGGTACTAGCAGCCCACTTTGTATTTTCTTCCTGCTACATGTAGAGTTTCCTATAGATCTGTCCCTTGTGTTTGAAAGGGGATCGTGTTTGACAGGATTATACCTGCAATTTGTGAACTTGCTTTAGAGAATTGTACATAAACAGAAATGCAGAGGTTATCCCTAAGAGGTTGCTGTTTGTCTTGTTGCTCTTGGGAAGGTATTATGTCAGATATTTACATATGAGAACAGGTAAAATGTTTAGTGAATGTCATTCTACATCCACCTTAGACAAGCTGTTTCCATGCTTAAGTGTTATGGTAAGATTACTGTGTGTCTTCCACTGCCCCCTAATTTCAGTGGACACAGGACCATGTTCAACTGCTTGCTTTAATTTAAGAAATGGTGAGGAGAACTGACTTAAAGTATGCAAATAAATCAAATTACATCAACCTTTGCTAAATCATGTTTTCAAAAACTATTGCAATAATATCTATTCTCTCTGGACTACATAGTCTATTGAGGTTGTTCTTGATATGCAATGCCCCAGTGCAGATTGGTCACTGTCTATAATGTCCAAGTTTACCATTACAGAATAAAGCAGTAGAATTACTTTCCTTGTCTCACATGATAACGTTGTTAACTGATTCCATAATTATTTTTGCCTTATTGTCAATTTTAGTGTTTGACTTAAGTTCGTGGTAAGTCCAAGGTCATTTCCTGTAGTTCTAGTGCTGAACCAGTTTTCCGTATCTAGATTTTTGTATTCTCACTCTTACCCTTCTACTTCTGAAGTGGAGAATTAAGCACTATGTTGAACTACATAATCCATTCCTCCAGAGTACTTGCAGCGTTCTGAATTTGATGCCATACATATTTTTTTCTCTTCTTGGCGCACTCGTTCCACCATACTGTTTTAGTAACACTGAACCTTGGGCAGATGCATTGATGTTTCATACATTTTCTTACACACATCTGTTCCTGCCTGGTTTGAGTAGCTCTTCTTTGAATAGTTATTTTAGGATTTGTTCACTTCTCTTGGAAGTGAGCAGAAGAAATAACTTTAGTACTAAGACTTTTTTTTGGCAATACAGATATTCATAAATACTTTTTAGTTTTTTTCCCCCAAAACAGATTTTAGTTCATATAACTAATATGTTTGCACTTGAAATAAACTACTAAGATTGTGTTGTATAGTTCACTCACTGTTAATACATTGAGTTTATGAGAAACTACAGTCTTGGAAGGATTGCATTATTTTCTAGGTTGAAAGAAGAATCACTGCTAGGAAAGCACTGTGCACATTGTATAATTACAGAATTTTGGAAGTAACTCTATTCTTTATTGTTGTAAGAATGCCATTTGAAACAAAATCAGTACAGTCATGTCTTCCAGTTTTCTGTCAAATCTGTTCAAGTGGGTCAGATTGTAAGACTGTACTTTAGGTACATATGAAAAGTCTGTGTTCAGCCATAGCTCACTTGAAGTCCCTTAAATATCATCTTGTATGATGAGATACCTCTCAATTAAAAAAAGGCATGAAAGGAGTTGATTTTGTTATGGTAACAGTCTTTGACCTTGAGCTGAAACTGAGCTCAAGTTTTGACTGTTTTGTTTTTTTTTTCCCCTTCTTGGTTATGTTACTCTGTGAATAATTTTCTTATTGGCAATGGCTTAATGGTACTGAAAATCTAGCTTTAGGACTATGGCTACATGATCCAAAGTACAGTGACAATACATGGTGCACAGTGCTGATCTGATACAAAGATCTTCCAGCTTGAATAAATAGTCAAAAAGTGTTTTCAAATGGAATAAAAGATTATGGCATGCAACTTCTGTCCATAGCATTCTTACCAATTTCTCATTGAATTATTAATCTGTCTCATAAGCAGCATATGTTCTGGACCTAGAATAGAGGCTGGCGTAAACTGTTTGGTTGTTCTTTGGCTAAAGCAAACACAAACTTGCTCTGTGGCAAGCCATCATTCCTGTAATCCAGTGTGGTGTGACCTGGCCTTGAGAAGTTCCCAATTACAAGGAAAGGGAGCTCCAGATCACACTAAGGAACGTGGTCTCAGTCAGTCCTGCCTCAATATTTGCACCCTTTGATACAAATAAGTGCTTTCATATGAAGAATTTGGTAAGGTCTATCAGTGTTTGCTCAGCCATGTATTGTATTCCTCACATGTCTGGAGATGGAGACCAGGAGTTACTAGGCTGCAGCTCTTTCTGACTGGTACTCTGGTCCTAATTCTCTGAGAACAGCAAAACCTTTGCTGTATGAAAATGGCCTCCCTCTCTGCCCATCATAACCTGTGGTAAATGTGAAGTCGGTTTGTCTTTAGCACTTGTTTAGTGTTTACAGCTGGTTTTTGTGTGAGAATCCATTTGCTCTGTGTTTGTATTAAAACTGAAATGTATGACTGCTGGAACTGAGGAAGCTGAAGTAAAAATACAGCATGTTATGGTGAATTGTAAGCATATCAGACCTCGTTTGCTTACAGCGGCCTGTCAGTAACACATGCATTCACAGGTTTTCAGCTGTGGTTATTTCATCAGAAGTAATGTAACTTTTGAATAAACAGGAAGCTACAAGAATGTGAGGAGCTGGTAGGACAGAAGCAGTATCCTTTTTCCTCTGTCTTCCCAGGCAGTGTTAATGTGACATTATGAAAGAAGTTCATCTGACTCATCTGTTTCTTGTCATCGGAGGACAGAACTATAAAAAGATGTGGAAGTACTCTGTATCTGTAGTCAGATTTATGACTAGGAAGACTTCTGATATTTATTTAGGAGAGAATGAAATAGAAACAAGCTGGAATTTACATGATTTTTTTACTCCCTCTGCCTTCAGAAATAGAAGCATAATTGGTTTAGGTCCTAGAAAGACCATTTTGAACTTTGCATTAACACCAGGGTTTCTAATCTAGTTTGTATTTGGAACTTCATATAAGAGAAAATGGTTATTTTAACAAATTACTGCCCATGCTCTTAATGAAATCAGTTCCAATAACTTTGGAACTGGACTGTCAGTGACTCTGGCTTGTGAAGTATTTTTGTAAGTAGGACAAGTTGCTTTGCAGTTTAAATGTAATGACCATTGCAGACAGACCACCCCCTTTAAATTACTGCAAGCGGGAATATTTTGAATGCTAGCAAAAAATTAGAGAACTTGTGCCCCTCCTTTAAGCCTCTTGGCCATTTCTCAGATCCTTCAGTAGGAATGATATGAATGTGCTTATAGTTCTTCTTTGGATGTCTAATGCTTTTCCTTCTGGACAGATTGAAGGAAAAACTAGTGATAGCATGTGATCTTAATCTTGCTACAGGGAATGATGTTTGGCAGAACAGATAACATCAGACTTTTACCATTTTAGACTGAGGTTGCAGGAAAATGGGGGAGGGGGGATATTTACTTTCTCTGGTTATATCTTGGATATGACATAGTTCACTGAGCCTCTTTGCTTGGACTCTGCTACTTGTACATACTTAGTTGAGTGCTTCATAAAGAGTATCTTTTAAATGACACCTCACTTGATCTGGAAGAATTGAGACTTACTGAAGCATCCTGCCTGGAACCTGTTTAGACTCCTGTTTCTGGAAATCGTTTCCCAGTCTGGCACACTCTCATACTTGTTATTTTCTCAGTTTCTTTAAATAGCTGATGGCCTGATCCCATGCTGAATTCAAGTTTATGCTGTTCTTTTGCTCTAAATTGCACCTTTTGACTTAACTGAATCACTAGAATGAACACAGATTCCCGGTAAAGCTGAAAATTTCACTTGTCTTGTAGAAGTTCCCTTTTTAGGTATGTTTTTTTCTAATAGCTCTGCATTATTAAATATCTCTAGCAAGGTAGTCATTTCAATTTTGTTGGTGCATCTGCAATGTCAACTCAGAGCAAAATTTATTCTGGAGGGAGTAGGAAACAGTTCCTCAAACTTGTCTTGTTGGCATCCAGCTTAAGTTGTGGAGGCTGCCAAACTTGGTAGTAAGTACAGGCTGGTGAAATTATATGGCACAGAGAACTAAAAGTAGAACAGTGGGGCCTGGCCAGCCAGCTGTCCTCTCAAGCTGTGAAATGCCAAGAATATTCTCCTTCTATCTCTTTCCAGTCTGCATACTAGTGCTCTTTACTCAGGATCCTCCCCCTGGATTTTACACATGCTTTTAAAGATGAGAGATAATAATGAAAAGTATCCTTCGTTTTGAGAGAGGGAGGGTTTTTTGGTCTTGGGGTTTTTTTGTTTGGGTGGTGGTTTTGTTTTTGAAATAGTTTTGCAAGCTTCTTGAAAGTACTGTTGGGAGTTTAAGGACAGAAAATAGGTTGCAAAGACATTTATAATAGTTCCAACAAGGCAGCCAGTTGCTTACTGCATAAAAGTCAGCTAATAAAGTATGGATTGAAGATGTATTTCTGTCTAAGGAAAAGATGGTGGTGTTACTGTATCTGTCTATTAGGTATGAGATGATTGACCTGCAAAGAGTAAATTCTGCAAGGTGGTGTAGTTTAGCCTTGTCCAGGCTCTGTAGACAGCTGGCAGAGTAGCTTTGCTTCTGCTAGTCCTGCATGTGTCTGTGGGGTGAGGGAAAGAGCAAGCAAGCGAACTCCTGCAGACTCTGGCATGGCTGTGTCCCCTGGATTTCCTCGGCTGTGCTGCCTTGATTTTGACTGGAAAGGGACAAGAGAGCATCGCAGAACCTTGTGTGCTGTGAGCTGTCTAAGCATCATCTTTTAAGGGCCCTGGTTGCACTCTGGTCTTGACAGATGATGGCCTCTTCATAGTTTCAGAAGCATTGTTCAAATGTCCTCAGGCATTGTTGCTTCAGCTCCTGGGATTCTGGCTTCCAAAACTTCCATGGCTGTTGTTGGTTCACCAGTCTGCTCTGTGCTTGATTAAGAAAGCTTTTGATGGCATGGCCCAAGAGTTGAAACTTTGCAGTGTCTTGCAGCATTTTGATGAGATTGCCAAACCCACCAAAATTTGAAGACAGCTTTTCTAGCTTTGGAAATAAAGATCCACTTTAATGCAAGCTAGGCTTGCATTTCTGGTACTGGATTCCAGATTTTAATGTATCGTTATCATATGATTTATTTAAAAGTTCATTATGTGCCATCTGAAGTCTTACTTAAAAGTGTTAAGTTGTATACTGGCTTTGAAATCTGTAGAACTATAGATAGATAGTTGTCATTTCCAGACATAGTTCATTGTTGTCAGTAGCTATTGTGTGCAGTCAGGATGTCCTGGGGAAGGAGCGTGCATGGTTTAAAGTTGATGTTAAGTACATCAGCATTCCAGTGGTAGTAAGCTATAAGAAAGCTGTTTGTATTCCACTGAATTATAAGACCTTAGACTAACCTTTTTTGGGAGAAGTGGTAATTTTGAAAAATTCAAGATTGATTGTTCCATCTGTGATGGATCCTGAAAAAAAAGGATTTCTCTGGTATAGAAAGTGTAAAGCTTAAAAATCTCTTCCTGGAACAGGAAGGCAGGGTGAAACAGACGGCATTTCTTTAGGGAGAGGCTATCTATGTTAATGTCTAGTTAGCAAAGTGAAAGAAGTGCTCTTTCTCTGAAGACATTGCAGCTAATGGATATATGAATGTTTCAGTGGTAAGTGCTTTGAATGTATAGACAGTCTTTGTTAGTTCCTTTTAGTTTTGAAACGGTTTGTGTTTCATGCCGGCACTCAAATGATTTTTCCACTCATTAGTGGCTGGTAATAAATAGATCTCATAGTAACTGTTGTTACTTAATGCTTTGGAATGGAAAGCTCAGATTTATAAGCAGCATTATCTCTGAAAAGCTGAGATTTTCAACTAACCTGAATTTTAAAAAAATAAAGAAATCCACTCCTATTTACAAATTTGTTAAAATTATCATTTGTGAAGCTCAGTTGCGTCTCATTTCAAGCAAAGGTGACAGAGGCATTTTTAATGTAATTATGAAGTGTAGAAGAAGAGGTTGGAGAAGCCTTAATTTAGCAGTGAACTGTGGCAACAGAGGCCATTAATATTTTTGTAATACATGGCAAATTTTTTTTCTGTAGGCTTATTACAACACTTTCTTCCAGATCTGCAAGTAGTTGTGAAAATAGCCCATGAGAAGAATATGTGTTTTCCATAATAGCTTTATATGGCAATAGTTGTTATAAAAATGTTGATCAGGCCTGTTGGCACACTGTGTAAAAAGGAATGGATTCAACTGTGTTAATTTACTGGTTAAAAACTTTTCCTTTCACAAAGGAAGTCTAATGGGGGAGTAGATTACTGTACTTTCTTTGTTTGTTACCCATTAGTGTTTAGGCACCTGGCAGGAAGTTTGAATACTTTTAAAGATTAAAGTCTGTTACTTTAATTTGCTAAGAAAATGTGTATAGAATGGGCAATATTTTAATGTGATTTAATTTTTGCTACTTGTAGAAGTCATTGCAGGCCATTATTTCCCTATTTGTACTTGAAATGTAAGGAGGTTACATAAATTAACATTGTCACAGGTCTTGCAGAAAGTGATGAGTAGGGGTGAATAGCTGTATGTGTGTCATTGTAGTATCTCTGAAACAGATAGCCTAAGTAATTTAGGCATCTGGATAAGTAAGAATATTTCATTCCTTAAAAATACGAATTTGTTTGAAAATAAATACTAATGTGATATCGTCACTTCTTGCAATGTAAAACTGGTAAAACTTCTATTCAGAGGGCTTAGCTTTGGCTCAAAGGAGTGTATGTGACTTCTCTACAAAAATATTCCCAGTCACCAATGATTAAGGACTTAAGTTGGAAACAGACAAAAATGGTTGTGTTTTTTTCCTCCTCCTTTCTCTCTCTTCTCCCTTGTCCAGTAGTTGTTAATAGAAACTCCACATGCTTCATTCTTGTCTCATTATTACAGTTTGTTATGGAAGCGTGTTAAAGGCTCAGTGTTGAGTGGCTAAGTACTTGTCTTTATCACCAGTTTAAACCATTTAGTTTGTCCAGAAGCGCTTCTTTTCCTATTGTGGAACAATGATAGTTAGACTGAGTTTCTTACCCATTTTTAACAGACAAAACTGAGGGACTTTTGCCAGATTAGGGAGCTAATAGTTAAAGGGGTTTGCAATGGACGTTACCTGTCGATAGCTTTAGATTTGTGTGTACAAGCCAGAAATCCTGTGGTCTGGATATGTACACAGGATTGCCTACAGTTACGGGGGGGCATCCCCATGAACTACTGCTCCTGTTAGAAATTCTGAAATTTCCACCCAGAAAATAAACCGTTTTTCAAATATTTGACTGCATTTGTGAGCTGCTTTGTGCTGTTGCTGCTGCTGTGCGATTTCACTCTTGCTACTAAGTGACTGTTTTTCTTACTCTCGCATTACCATCATGTTCCCACACAAAGCTGCTTCTTGACTGGGAAGATATAGGAAGTGAGAGACTACTTTGATTTCATTGTGGGAAGCATCTGGGTTGTGTTAATTTCTTTCCTCTAGAGTTTACTTTCTTACTAATCTTCCTTAAAACCGTGTTTTTTCAATTGCTCAGAAAGGTATAATGTTGCATGTTCTGTAGACTTTCTGTATAAAATTTGTCTTTAACTGTAAACTTGTTTGACTGACCCTACCTCTCACCCTTTGGTTTTCATTTTTTTTCCTAAGCGGTGAACTTCAAAGAAGTTAACGAAGAAAACAAGAGAGAGCTCTTCAGTGAAATATTTTCTTCTATTGAAACATTGGCATTCACCTTTGGAAACGTGTAAGTTGAAATCCAGAAGGAGTTTTTAAAGAGCTCTGTGGAGCTGAATCAAATTAAGACTAAACACAAGAAAATATTCAGGGTTTTTTTTGACAAATATTAGCTGATAAACTAATTTAAATTAACCACATCCAGAACAATTTTACTGCTTGAATTGGGTGTTTGGTTTTTGGGTTGTTTTTTTGTTTGTTTTTTTTTTTTATAACAGGCAATGGCATAAAAATTGCAGGAAATATAGAACTATTTCTAAAAAGTGTTTGCAGAACTTCTAAAAGATGTTAGAAACACTATCTAAACTTTTGTTCTCAGTGATCTGAAATTGTTTGGTAAGGTAAAGTAATAAAGTAACAGAATTCTTTGTTTTTCTGGCAGTGTTTCAGACTTCCTTATGGGAGATGTAGACAATGGTTCGTCATTGGGACTTCCTGTATCTCGGAGAAGTCGGGTAGGCTAAAAACATGTTCTCTTGGAGTGTGGAATGGGATCTTTTAAATGAGATTTTCATTTCCACTGAAACTCTGTGAATCATGGGGCTGGGATACTTGGAGTCTTCTGTGTCTTAAAACAAGATTAAACCCATGAAAAAAAATGTGTTAAAGGTTACAGATACTTGAATGTATTCTCAGTTCTAAATGTTAGTGATAACTCAATGGGGCTAGTGCTTAAATATGTATATGATAACCTGATGTAGTCATATTTGAGATTTTAAAATTAAGTGAAAAGAACTAAATACTTAGAAGTAAGATACTTGAATGATTTGCATGATGAAGTAGTTAGAATAGACCTGATAGATGTAGAAGCTAAAGGTTTAATGACCTTTTTTTGGCAATATTCATTACAAAATAACCTTTTCTTCTTCCAGAGCCCAGTTTGTGCTGTAGCTGTTTCAACAACAGTTCACTAAGACAACTGAAATAGCACTGTCATCTTATAGGTAGTCAAAGAAAAACATTAGTCTTTTAAACTCCCCTTTAAACACTTTGAAGGTGAGATTAAAAAATGCTCAGTACCAAATTCTGTTCTGATTTTTTTGTGTATCTAGAAGCAGACTTTAAAGTAATGACATCAAACGAAAAGTTACATGAAAAGAAAATGCAGTTTATAATTGTGTGTATGACAAGCTAAGTTGTACCAAGGTTAAAATTTTTTAGATTGTGGCGATTTTTAAAGGCTTAATTGAAATGTACTAAAGGCTTAGCATTCCTGCACACGGGCTTGATCATAGCAATGCTATGAAGCTATAGCTGAGAAGTAGTCTTTCTAAATTTTCACTATATTTGATAACACACATGAGAAAGATAGATGGATGATCACAGAAGTTCTACTTCTGTAGCTGATACAAAACTCATCTTCACAAAAAAACATGGAGGGGAAGGAGGCTACCCATAAAACTGGTTCCAGCAGGCTTACAATCAGAGGATTAGGTTGCTGATAAATAGGAAATAAAATAGCATAGAAGTCAGCATCTCATGTAACTTAGATTATTTGAACAAGTACTGTTTCATCTAATGGGCTCACCAGCAGGAGGGAGGTACAGAATTTGCCAACATTTCAATCTTGTAATGGCTTTGCAATACAAAAATGTGTTCTTGTGGAACAAGATGGTCCCATATATTTTATTCTGAAGTGAATGCTTTACTAAAAGATCATTCTGCTGAATGTGGGGGCAGGGAAAGACCAAGGGGAAATTAGAACATAGTGAAAAGAAGAAGGAATTCTGTTCTAGATGCTACAAGTCACCAGCTTAGATTTAAACCCCATTTTTTGTAGTGTCATTGGCTTTTCCTAATGTGAAAGGGAACAATTGTAAACTTTGGAGCAGGTAGGATAATATGGTTCAATTTATTGGAAATCTGTCTTAAGTTGAAGTGCATTTTCATTTATGCAAATAAATATACATTTAACAAATGAAGCATTTCACCTTTGATTTTGCAATTCAGAGAGCAATTTGTAGGTCAACTAGTTGAGTATTAGGAGGAGTTAAATGCAAAGTATGTAAGTAGCTGTATTAACTTTTCGTTCCTGTAGATGTGTACATTCAGTGGTGAACATAGCAGCTAGCTGTATCTTAAAAAGATTATAGCATAACATTTTGGTAGAATTTAACATGTAAATGCTTTGAGGGTTAATTAAGGAGAGAGATTGTAATTGCATGTTAGGCAAGGCACCTCCCTATCTAAGCTGTTGAGTATTTCTCTGAGAGGAGGGGAGAGTAGGGGGGTGGGGGTGGTCAGATGGGGAGCAGGGAGATGATCTTGCTTCTCCTGGCTGCAGGGGAGTCTACATTCTTTAGTTCAGGCATTCCACTTGGAAGCTTAAGCTAAATGATACGTATACCCCCTCTTAGCAAATGTAATTGTTCTCATTTTAGCCCTTGTAGTACAACCAGAAGTACAAGGTGGAAGCAAAGAAATTTCTTAATTAAAAACAGAAGAGCTTTAGAATATGTTGGAAGAGACGAGACAGGCATGTCTGACTTTTCATTACTCAACAAGCTATTTGAATGCTATTCGATGCTATGTAGATCTGAGAACATAATAAAGGAGGATAAAATTTTCAAAATGTGTGCGGAGATTTGCCTCTTGTCAGAGTGACTGTTCTTGGGTAATGGAGAAAAAAAAAAGGGCAGAAAAGACTGTGAGCAGTGAAATCTATCTAGAAGTCAGGCTTTTTAAATTTTTGTTCAGCTCACTGGGATGAGTCATTGGATTCTTGAAGGGGACAAGCTGTATGGGTCAAGTTCTGATAATAAGTTGTAGGACATAAGTAAAAGTAGTTGTCTATGGGCTTGCTTTTAAAATGTGGTATTACATATTTGTGGTGGTGTGAATGTGGATGGATGAATGAGCATTGATTAGCTGCCCTATCTAAACTGTGTGCCTGCGTTACTGGCAAGGAGTGAACAGTTCTCAGGACTGAAACGATTTAGGTCTTACAGAAGAGGAAATAATTTTTAGGACCAGAATTGTAAGTTCCTCTTGAAGTAATATAAAATATGGGGTTTTTTTTCCTCCTCTTACTTGTTCTTCCCTGACAACTGACTGTCACTTCAAAATCTACCTGAAGATAGTAATACTTTATACCCAAATCAGAATTAAATCTAGGAATGTTCAGGCTTTCTGTGCAACAGAATATTGAGCCATCTCTGAATTCAGACTTTTGGGGTTTTTTACTCTTTCATTGATAGACAGCTTTGGACAGATGTTCCACTTGTTCTGAAAAAGCCCTTCCATTCTACTGAAACTCTCTTTTAGGCAGCAATTCTACTAGTATTCCAGTTTCTTAGGAATGAAGCTGTTCTTTAGACTAGTTTGATTCTGTTCAATGTTAACTGATGACTAATGCCTTGCATGTTTTGGTATATGGAAAAGCTGCTTTTGCTGTGAAGTAAACTAGGGATTTTTATGTGATTTATGATCCGTTTCCATTTACACTTTAAAAACTAACCAAACAAAAAAGAACTACTTGGATAATTATTACTGTGCTCCATTTTAGCTTTAGGTCAGAAAATAAAACAGCACCAAAGTCTAATTCTTGTAAATCTTAAGGCCAATTTGCAGCTATTTCTCAGCCTTTGTCTTCTGCCTGCCAGCTGCTTCAGAGCTTTCAAAAGTAGCTTATTAATTTAAAATGATGTAGAGTTATGTTGGGTTTTGGTTTTGTTTTTTTAGAAGGGGGTGGTGGTTACTAGGTAAACTTTTCATTCATTTAAATTTGTTCAGTGGCCTGGTTTACAGCACAGTCCTACAAATAGTTTCAACTTGCTCAATTAAAGGGGTAGCTAAATGTGGCATGAAGGCAGAGGTAGGGATGAAATCTTGTGCTAAATTCATTTTATTGTTGGATGAAGTTCTGTCAGGTTGTACTGACCGAGGGCTTCATTAGCAAGTGTTACTAGTCACTTTATTCCCTTGAGGAAGAAATAAAGGATTCTAATGGCATGTAGGATGGTGTCATATGTATATGACATTAGGTCTGTATGAAATGCTTTTAGAAAGATAGGTGGGTATCTAAGAAAAGCTGGATGTCACTTAAATATCAACCTGGTTTGTTAAACAACTCTTCCATCACAGCTTGTCAAGATTGTTTATTTAAAGGTATATAATGATTCCTTGCTATTTATTATGTCTCAGTTGACAGCTGTGGGAGCTTAGAAGGTATTATGCCTTAGATGTGTGAGTTACAGTACAGGTTTTTTCTATCTGCAGAAAAAGAAAGGGGCAGATGATGCCATTTATTTTGTTAGCCTGTCAGTTCTAGTGAAAGCTTTTCTTTTGTAACTTACTGTTTTGTTTCTTGTACACCAGTCTTTTGAGAATCTTTCTGTGGAGTCTGGGGGTTCACTGCATGAAAGGGATGATATTCAAGGTAAGTCATTTAATATTAATAAATATCATTGTGTATCTGTGTTTTCATCTTGTAAAATGTTGTAAATAAGTTGCTTGGTCATTCTTTTACACCTCTGCTGCCATTAAAACTTTACTGTAAAAAATTTGCTGCTGCAGAGGTTTTATGCTTTTGTGAATAACCAGCCTGGATTGCTTTTCAGGGCAGGGGGAAAGGCCAGAACCACTTCTGTATGTCATCATATGATTGGTGTTTTGTTGGGTCACTTTCTTTAAGAAGTTATGCTGGCCATATGACTACTCCAGATAGAATACTATGACCCTTTAATTTGTTCTAAACCTCTGTCAGTTCTGTTTAGAATCAACTAGCATTAAAGACCAACTCAAGATCAGAGCTGCTTAAGCATTCACAGTTGGCTAATACTGGCTTTACTCTGTGTGTGGCCATGTCTAAAATTCATTTCATTGTGTTCAATGCTTTATTTTCAGGACATCTTCGAGCAGAGGAGGTTGATAGCATGCTCCTGAGAAATGACAGTGGAATTGAATCAGCTCTGTCCTATGCTAAAGCATGGTCAAAATATACCAAGGATGTAGTTGCATGGGTAGAAAAAAAGCTTAGCTTGGGTGAGTGGCTCTTCCTGGCATTTAATCAGCTTTGTCATGATGAAATTAAATCTGTTGTTAGGCCTCTGTGCTACAGACTGTCAATAATGTGATTTCTAAATTAGTAGCTGTTCTGCTGAAGTGGACAGAACTATCGTGCATTTCCTATAATTAAGGGCCTGTAACAAAGTGAAAGGTGGTCCCCTCTGTAGCCTGTCTGTTAGAGGAAGAATATAGAAAGCATATAGCATGTGGTACAACTGTTAGCATAAACAGTAACTGTGAATTTTTTTAACAGAAGTGGAGTGTGCTAAAAACTTAGCAAAAATGGCTGAAACTGCTAAAGCTGTTGTTGGACACCAGGTGAGTACGTTTTAGAGGCTTTATTTTAAAGTCTTAACTATGTATTGGATGCCTTGCCTAGAAGTGAAATGAGGAATGGATTTTTAAGTTGATATGGATGGACAAAATCACTGGTTAAAAGATCTGTTTTATGTCTTCCTGTATATTATGGAAATTTGGATGTATAAATTCATTTTTGTTAAAAATGCAGACTAGCCTTATAGTTTTCACAGTATACTTTTTTTTGTCTAACATCTTGTATGCTTTGTGATTTGGTCTTGTGGACTTCTCTCTCAGAGTGTCTTCCTAGTAAAATGAAACATAGCTTAGAAATTAGTAGATTCATAATTTTCTAGATTCATATGTAACTGTCTTCCACACACATATAAATACCTACTAAATTTAATTGAAAATCTACTTCAATTATACAGACATTACTTCTCCCTTACCTAGAACATTTATGTTTTTGTTGTGTGTAATTTTAGGATTATATGCCATTCCAATCAATATTCATAAATGCTTTTCAAAATGATATTGAGAACAATCAACTTTGGCAACAGACAGCTGCTGCTCTCCAGTCTAACAAATTTGTGCAGGTAAGCTTAAAGACCAAGATATTGTTTAGGTTTTTAAAAAGTTTTGTAACAGCACAGAATATTCGAAAGAACAAACTTGCAGCCTATAAGACTTTTATGTACTCTATTAATATTTCCTATTTAGCCTCTTCTTGGAAGGAAAAATGAGTTGGATAGACAAAGGAAAGATATCAAGGACCTTTGGCAGCGAGAACAGAAAAAAATGGTTGGTATTTCTTTCATATCTAACAGTGTTCAATCTTAAATTCTTCAGAAGAATGAAACTCAAACTAGGCTGTTATGTGCTTAAATTCATGTGTAGAATCTATAGGGCTTATTGAATGTAGCACATAACTGTCAGTTTCATGACACAGTTGTACTTGTAAGAGGTTACATACTTTGAACTGCAGCATACAGACCTGTGCATGACAGCTACTTTAAACATCGCATTAAGTAACTGGAAAATTAAAATAATTCATTCTTTTGCTTTTTTCTTTTGTTGCATTCTGCAGCAAGAGCTGGAAGCTGCTCTAAGAAAAGCAAAATTGCTATATACACAGCGTCAAGATGAGTATGAAAAGGCAAAATCCTGCACTGCTCGTGCTGAGGAGGAACATCTTAGTTCAAGTGGAAGCTTTGTGAAAGATTTCAGTAAGCAACTGGAAAAAAAACGAAGGCTAGAAGAAGAAGCTCTTCAAAAAGTAGGAGTTTTTGTTTCTTGCTTTTACAGTTAAGCCTACACTGGTTTTACTTGCCCTTTCCCAGTGGGAGCATTTGAGCAAGTGTTCTGTTCATCATTCTTAATTTTAATCATGCTATGCTCTTTTGGGCTTTTATCCGAAACGGGAATCTCTAATTACAATCATCTTGTGGGTTGTTTTTTCTTTCCTTGCTTCTAGTATTAAGGTCTGTAGTCCATCAACCCTTTATACTTGTGTTTTCTCTAGGCTGAAGAAGCCAATGAACACTATAAAGCGAGCATGGCAGAGGTTGAAGAAAAAAGAAATGATTTGGAAAGCTTTAAAAGTGATGTCTTAACACAGCTTCGGGAACTTATTTACCAGTGTGATCTGACTCTTAAAGCTGTAAGCATGCTTTTTAAAATATGTTTGGCACAGATATATTGTTAAGAGTAAGAGAAAGGCCCATCTGTAGTATTAACTGCTTAAAATAGAATGTTTTGAAAGGACAGAGGTCAAGCCAATAGAAGTAAAACTTTTAATATGTTTGTGATGTTCTTTTTCTGCTGGGAGGTTTGTTTTTTTTAAAGGGGAGGGTGTTATACATGTCTTGAATGTTCTGTTTGGGTTTTTTTTATAAGTGGTTGCCTTGCAAGAGCCCTGATTAAACAATTCTTGTAAAATCTCTCTAAGAATATTGATGGCAGTAGTAGTACTCTGTTGCTTAAGAGTACAGCTCCCATTCCCGTTATTTTCATTAGTGCATTAGCAAAGATGTTTGGCTCAAGCACAGAATGGACATTAACACACTGCAGCATGGAGCCTGCTAATCTTGATGACAGTCTCAATTACTACAGGATCCATTGTGACTAACTGTATTAATGCTACACGTAATGCTTGCTTACACAATAAGCAAAGGTTTGTCAAAACAGTATATCTATGGACACATTTTTAAAAAAAGATTTAAAAGCCCATTATGCCAATAGATGCGTACTTTTTTAGATGAGACAAAGAAAATTTTAATGCTGGGGCAGGGGATGGGGAGCAAGCAACCCAAATCCAACCCATAAGAAAGCTTAGACAGACTTGTCAGTTCAAGTGTATCTAAATTGCAAACTACTTCGCAACCCCAAAGGTGGAGAAGCAGCCATGCAGTGTCCCCTTCCCTGGTCTCTGCCTTGTGATAAAATATTTTAAGTTTTACATAATTTAACAAAGGAAATGTTCAGTTAATCTGTTCTGTTGGGACAAGGCGTTTTTCCCATTTCGTGTCTCAAGGTGATACGGAGCTCATCAGGGTTTAGAATTGCAACTACTTCATCATTGTAGTGGGGACTAAAATTTCCTCCAAAACATATAAACCCTCTTTTTGGTAGCAAAATAACTTGCTGTTTGCCTTGATCAACTCGAAGTGGGAAGCCACTGGAATTGTCTTTGCTACCTGGAGGATTCAATAACCCAGAGACAAGAAGAATACTAGTATTTATACTACAGTTTTTGCAATTGATTTTCAGGAATCTTGCACTAAGTCATCCCTACAAATGTTACTATTTTCTATAATTTTTCTAGTCTTATTTTTAAAATAATTTTCTGTTGGGATATTAATTTGGGTTGAGAAAAGAGGAGGTGAAATATTTAGTAAATGATCTACAAATATGGACATTTTTTTCTCCCAACAGGCAACAGTTAACCTGTTCCAGCTGCAGCACACTCAGGTTGTATCTCTTCCTGTTAACTGCCAGTCCCTCTGTGAGAGTGCCAAACTCTATGATCCTGGTCAGCAGTATTCAGAGTTTGTGAAAAGCTTGCCAAAGGAAGGTGTTCCTATTGAATCAGGTTCTTTTGAAACCCAGAGTTCCCAGGTTGATGGGTGAGTCCCAAACTATAGGTGGTATTTGCTTGGTTTAGAATTAAATGCTAGGCACAGTTTAACAGTAGAAGAACGTTACTGGAGGAATTAAATGAATCCTGGTGTTTTACCATGCTACCATGCTTTACCATTCTCTGTTTCTTTGGTTTATCTTTTGGTAGATTATATATAATGTTGACCTTAAAACCTGACTTTAAATTCCAAAGCAGAATGTTATTTTGTGTAATACTACTTGCTAAAGCATTGAGAATTGTTGTGCAAGAGTTGTTACTATTTTAACGTAGACACTGGTTAATATAAAAAATGTGAATTTTGAACTTGGCAGTGTGGTGTGACAGTAGTATTTGATAATCAGTTTAGAAAGTCCTGAGGAGGTAGTTTTCTTCTTCTGCAGGTGTTACTATTACAGTGCCTTTTTTCATATTGTTAGTTTGGCAACTTCTTGGCAGGAAGGATTGCTCGATTTCTGTCTCATGCTTATGTGACTAAAAAAAAACTTATAGTCCACATGTTCCTGTGTTATACCTTAATTATCTTATTCCAACCTGGGTGAAATGGCAGTTTTTACTGTTAATCTCTTAAAGATACAGCTAGTGTGGAAGTAAAAACCACAAGACAGAAAGGCAACTCCTCATGTCAGTATGCCAAATGCTTTTCCACCTTTAACTTGTTATAAAATAGTCATCCTGGCACTAAAGCACCAGAATATCCATTCCAATCTGTGTGTTTCACAGTTATACAGGAAAGTGTCGTCATCATCTTTAAAAAGGAAACTAAATACAAAACCTAAGTATTGAGTCAGACTTCTACCAACAAAAGCCAGGAAATTCAAAGTTAAAGCAGAGATTCTTAGTTCTTGTCTGTAAATTTCCTGCCTTTTAAGACTAATTTAGGCTATACTCATAAACTTTGACTTACAGGGATTTAACTGTGCAGCTCCCTGAGAAACTGATGAGCATGAAATTTCAAACGCTTTGTGTACTCTCCCAGCTACTTACTGCCTAAGATTTATGATTGGGTTTTCTCCTCCCCTCTCCCCACCTTTTGTTTTCTTTGGCATGGCCTTGTGATTCTTCATGTATTTGAAGTGATCACTTTAAGGTCTGCGTTTATTTAAGGGACTATAGCTTGGACAAATGCAAATCTTAATGTTTTTAAGCCTTTATTTCCTTTAGCTGGATAGGGTAGAACTGATTAAGAAACAGCTTCCTGACTGCTAAACTTGGCTAGCAGGCCATTTTGTCCACAGGGTGTTTCAGCATTTTGCATTAATTTTCTTAATTTTAATTTTAATTTTACCTTGAGAGCAGATTTTCACAACATGTACTGACTATAAGATCTCTGGCAGCTTCAACACATATATTCTGTGCTTTTAAAAAAGCACAGCATTTTAATGCCTATATGTTTATAGGTGAATGATCCTGATGACTGAGCAGAGAATCTTTTGGAGAAAAGGATAAAATTAGGATGGAATAGCCTCTGAATTATTCTGATCTTTAGATAAACAGATTTGAACTCTTTTTTCAAAGTCTGAAAAATAATGGTCATAATACCTTGCAGAGATGTGGAAAAGATGATTTATTGGTAGGGGAACACTGGGAAATAGCATGTATTTAATTAAAACTAAATCACCACTATTTTTTTTTTAATTTGGGCTTTAATAATTATATGTCAAATATGTATGTTCATGAACAACAGTTAAAAGAAGCATTTTTAACACTCGGGGTAAAAAACCCCTTTGCTTTCATTTAATTCTGTCTTACTCTTCAAATTATTTTCTCCTTTCTGAAGGGTTTTTAATAAGCAATCTACCAACAGTGTCCATATGTCACATGGTAACTTATCTCAGTGTTCAGGAGATTTTCCTGCTCAGACATTAGATGATGTGGGAAGCCCAATTTATCATCGTTCGCAAAAGATTGGAGAGACAAGATCTTCCAGCAGTACAGATATTCAAGGTAGCTCTTTTGTATTTCATCTGGAGTTCAGTCTCTAAGTAAAAATACCAGAAAGAAAGCAAGAGCTTGATGTCTCACTGTCAGAAATGTAGCACTGACAGGGTTAAAAAGTATTCTAAAGTTCAAAGGTTATAAAAATGGTTACGTACTTGAAAGTAAGGACAAATGGAAAACTGCCTGTGTGTATACCTAGGTTGACAAGAAGAGTAACATGCAGTTCAAACAGCAAGTACTGTCAATCTCCGTGTACTAAACCATTTCAATTACCTTTAGCAATTTTTATTTGTAAATACTACATTGTGTATTGTAAATACTACATTCAGGTCTTTTGCAAAAGCACAAGTGTCAAGCCTCTGAAATTCATTTTCATATATCTTGAAGCTTTTACAGAAATATATGCTGTGGGTTTTTTTCACTATATTGCATGTTCATGTATTTTTTGCAATATTTTCCTATTTTGAATATAGTCATAGTCTTTAAATAAAAAGAAAATAATGTAATTTTGTCCTTGACATTTGGAATTTGTGGGTTTTCTTTTCAAAAGCAATGAGAGGGCCACCACCATTCAGATCATGGTCAGTTGGCAACCAGAGTGGAGGAATGTGCAGTGATTCTGAAAGTGCAGGGGGAAGCAGTGAGTCACGATCCATGGATTCTCCATCTGCTAGCCCAGGTACAGCTATACTAATTTGAAGTTTTTTCTTTTTTTAAGTTTTGCATTAATCATTACATTGTTAGTTTAGCAAGTGTTGGACAGAGCCTATAATGAAAATGAGTAATTGGGTGGAACTGATACTTATAGCTTCCTGAAAATTTTTCTCATCTGCTAGGGGATTTTAAAAGACGACTTCCCCGAACACCTTCCACTGGTACTATGTCATCTGCAGATGATCTTGATGAAAGGGAGCCACCATCTCCTTCAGACTGTGGTAATGTTGTTTCCATACCTGAAGTCCCCAGAAGATGCTTTTTGTTGTAAAGTGTGGCTTTTCTTTTTAATGTGCTTAAGAAAAGTACATTAATAAGGCTGTGATTACCAGCAGCAATGTTTTTCAATACAGTGTGCATCCACTTGAGGTTGAGAGCTGAAGAATAACATTCAGGTCATTTTAATGAAGTGGTGAAGAATTGTTTTCATATATTTAGATTAACTATATGCGTGGCCTTTGAACATTTCTAGTGTCTTTACCCTCCTGAAGTAAACATAAATGATCCATTAACCATTCCTTACAGACATTTAAAGTTAGCTGCATGGCACTGAGATATGTACAATCACTTCTAAATTTTGAAGTGAAATGCACAGATACAGAGAGTTGGTAATTGGCAAACTGGAAAAAAGTGGATGCAGATGTTTAGGGTAGTAACTGAGATTTTACCCTTCTCAACTTCAATAAGCAAGTTTGGTAATGTCTCTCCTAGATTTGACAGACCATTTCTAATTTCCAAATGAATTTTGACTGTATAAAGACAATGTTGCCACAGGTACTGAAACCTAAATAACTGAATTATCATAAATAGTTCTATGGTATGTCTGCAATACTTACAAACTAGTTCTGAAATATTTGTGGCACTTGTTCAGTAAAGCCTTTAGGAAATCCTTCAGTTAGTCCTTATTTCCTAAATGTATACTTTGCTTTCTAGGAGTCAACCTGTGGTTAACAATACTAATTTAGGTCCAGATTTAAAGCATGACAACATGTCAATGAATGCAGACTTTCACTTGGAGTGGTACTGTTTAATCAGTACTTGAGCTTTTAAGATGATTTCTGGACAATTAACTGTTAATTTTAAGTTTTTATCTGCAAAACAAGGGTTCACAGGATTGTTGATAGCATTTTAAGTAAACTACTTGAAAATAAAATGGTCACAAAAAGCACCAGTTGCTATACTATTTTAGAATCCTTTAGAAAATATTTTGACATTATCACAGGAGACTGAACATCAGTGATTCTCTTTTATATGGGTTCTGCTGTGAGCGTGTGTTAATTCTTCCCTGCTTCAAAGTATTTTTTTTCAAGTATTTCAGAAACATGACAAGCCAAAACCATGTCATCTGTCATCCTCTAGCACAGAATTTTGAAATACATAGAATGAAATTTACATGAATAGTTGCTCTAACTGCAGGACAACTGCAGTTGGAATTAAATGTCTTAATATTTTCACTTGCCATTAATACAGGAGAAAATGGAAGTATTTTAAAATGTGAAACTAATTGTTTGATTCCACTTTTATGTAAGATGATTTGATAGTTAGTGTGTCTGTTATGAGAACATTGTTTTCCTTCCTTGTGATAAAAATGTTTTTCATTACTTTGGTAGTTGCTATTACTTACAGAATGCTGCATTCTGCAGCACAGTTCTAAAAAATCAGAATAAATACCCTATCTCAAGAGTAGATATTAGAATGATTGTAACAGGGAAATTCTCTGCAGGTGTAAATGATCTGACATCTGAAACTGCAAATTCTCCAGGACCTTTTAGAAACACTAATATGTCCAAAGCAGCACAAACACACAAACTACGGAAGCTGAGAGCTCCATCTAAATGCAGAGAATGTGACAGCTTAGTGGTATTTCATGGAGCTGAATGTGAGGAGGTAAGTTGTAAAGTTGTTTAAACTGCTGCTTGGGATTTATGTAAGGTCGGGACTTCTGGAAACTTGCATTAATTTTCTGTATAAAATGTACAGACTTTGTGGCTTCTTAGAATCATCATGAACTTAAAGCAAAAGCACAACAGACTAACAGATCTTTCCTTTTGCTCATGTATGGAGTAACAATCAGCAGAGATATTTCTTATGGTGTCAGATTGTATCAAACCATGTGTGGTTTTTTTCTCCCCTGTAGTGTTCACTTGCATGCCATAAAAAATGTTTAGAGACTTTAGCTATTCAATGTGGGCACAAAAAACTTCATGGAAGGCTTCACTTGTTTGGAGTGGAATTTGCCCAAGCTGCTAAAAATGTTCCCGATGGCATTCCTTTCATCATCAAAAAGTGTACGTCAGAAATTGAAAGTAGAGCGCTGAATGTCAAGGTATGCTCAAGTTTGTTTATAAAACTTAAGTATGAACAATCTTTTTTAAAAAATATAATCTCTTCTCAAGATGTTAATGCTGTACTGCTGATATCATCTATGTTTTACACTTGCCTTTCAAATTAAAATAGGGTTGTGCTGGTCTCTTAATTTCAGGGCATCTATCGTGTGAATGGAGCCAAATCAAGAGTTGAAAAGCTTTGTCAAGCTTTTGAAAACGGAAAGGATTTGGTCGAGCTCTCAGAACTCTATGCACATGATATCAGCAATGTTCTCAAGTTGTATCTCCGCCAGGTATGTACTTAAGAGGTCAGATAGAAAACCAAAGTACTGTAGTATGTTTCTTCAGTACAAGAGGAAAAAAAAAATCCCTTTCAGAAGTCCTGTAGCAGAAGATTAAATGAGTGCCTTGTGTATTTGCAGTAGGCTTCTTTATTTTGCATGGAGCCTGTGACAGGACGAGGGAAAGCTGCTCATATTCCAGTCTGTAATCTACATGGACATAATGTCTCTTTAAATACTAGTACAATACATAGAACAAGCTTTTGTTTATGCAATTGTAGTGAAGCTTTTATTTCTAAAACCTTTCTGGTTACTGAATTTTCCCGTCTTATGTGAAGTTTAGAACATTGCCGTATTCTTGCCACATGCAGACAGATGCTAACAAAAATTTAATGAAATGCGCATATAATGGTCACGATGATGTGTTCATTATGGAGGGTTTATTAATATTTTTCTTCCAAATGAGCTCTAAAGCTTCATGATTGAGTTTTCCAGAACAGTTTCAGTATGTATCTGAAAATGAGGCTGGGGTGTTGCTCAGTGAAATTACTGAGTCACTCTGAAAACTTTTTAATCTTGAAAGAAATAATCTTTAGCTGCATGGCTCTGTCCTCTTCTTTACACTGGCTGTCAGAGATGAGAATTCCAATGCTGTGATCATCACCATTAAGTTAAGGGGTTCTGAGAAATTGCAAAGATGTACTCTTAACTATTTATTCAAGTAAAAAGGTATCATATTCTATACACTGATGCACTGTGCTGCATTTTGAATAGAGCTCATAATTAAAAAAATTCAAATAACACATGTTCTTCTGGTCTTATCACTTCCTTTGTAGCTCATGTGTTAGTGTGGTTTTTCGGTAAACCTGCTCATTTTAAATGCAGGAACAGTGCTAGAAACATGCAGTTAAAACATTTTTAGATAGAATCCTGAGTTAAACCCTATTTAAGACTAGATAAAACTCAAAATAATTAGTTTTAATAATTAGTCTTCATGTTTTTTGCTTTTATCTAAGCTGGAGCAATGCAATGTAAATAGCCAGGTCAAGTTTGAGGGTTTTGTCCTTTTTGGGGTTGTTTTATTAACATTCATTTTCCTACTAAGAGAGTATTTAAATCACAATTAAAAATTAATGTTATGTGACATAAATCCAATTTTAAAAAAAGGAATACATACCAAACTGAAACCACATGTAATATATTATCAAAGACTGGAAAAAAATAACAGGTCTATTATGGTATTTGTGCATATGCAGTGTAACATCCTCCCTCATAGCAATCGCTTTCTTGAAATCTGTACCTGTATTGATAAATGCTCAGTCTTGAAGCTATTGCAGGAAAGGGGTAGCAAAAGATTTCTGGAGAAAGGTGTAGGGAGGAGTGGGTTTTGTTACCTGGGATTGGATTTGAAAAATTGTGGTTTAATCTAATGAGCAAGGATTAAACAATGTCATCATCTAAGAAAAGATATTAGGTCAAACAAAGTTGAAAAAAAGCAGGAAGGAAACAAGTTAAAATTCAGGCTTGAGTATTTTTCTGAAATGTTCTTATTTCTTCAGCTTCCAGAACCCTTGATTTTGTTTCGGCTTTACAATGAGTTCATTGGACTTGCGAAAGAAAGCCAGAATGTTAATGAGGAATTGGATGCTAAACAAACTTGCCCCAAATCAAAGAAAAGACAGTCAATCTGTATTGAACTGAATAGGATCATTATTAAAATTAAAGATCTTCTGAAACAACTGCCTGTACCAAACTATAACACTCTTCAGTACCTTATTGGACACCTCCACAGGTGAGAAAAGACTTAAATGCAAAGTGATGTGGAAAAACAAATAAACTGCTACATGCGGTGTACTAGGAAGCTCTTGTACTCTTTAGATGACTGTGGAGAAAATTGTCATGTATGCCTTTAGAAGACATTGTTCTGTTTCTTTTTCTAATGTCATGAATTCTTGGGTGAAAGAAGAATATGAAATGGAAAGAAAGGAGGGAAAGAGCTGAGCTTCATGGTTCTTGATTCTCTGCTAGCAAGTAATAACTGGTGGCAGCTGCAGGGACCTAGGTGTGATTTAAATCATGATATGACCCAGATAGGGCAGTGATTTGGTGGCTGTTAACAGAAAACTGAAACTTGCATCCTGTCTGTTAATAATAATTCTCCAGTTACATTTCACTTCTGTTTCTTCCAAATGCTGGATTGTACCATGATGTGTGATGAGGATGTCCCAAGCTGATTACCAACAAAAAAAAATGGGTAATATTGGGCCATAGCTATATTAACAAGAATGAGACATATTTTTTTCCCCAACCCCAGAAATGCCAAATAGGCACAAACATTAACCAAATAGACATAAAAACGCCCTGTGTGGAAAGCATGTAGTCCAAGCTGCTGTTAAATGCAGTCTGCAGTGAAGATTCTGCCTGCCTACCAAACCCACCTTCAGTTTGTTTATTGTCTGTTAGCCTCTCTAGACATAATATTTTGATATCTAAAATAGTTCCGAAGTAGTAAAACCCTCTAACTCTTGGGGTTTGTGGGTTTTTTTCCCCTCTTTATGCAGGGTTACAGAACAGTCTGATGAAAATAAAATGTCAGCCAGCAACCTTGGCATAATATTTGGTCCAACTCTGATCAGGCCACGTCAAACAGATGCTACAGTTTCTCTGTCATCACTTGTGGATTACCCGTATCAGGCTCGGGTAGTGGAGCTGCTCATAACATACTATGAAAAGATATTTGATGTTTCATTGAAACCACTTCTGAGCACATTGCAGTCTGAAGAAACTGCCATTACAGTCAGAGTTGCTTTATCAGCGGAAGAGAGGGAGCCCCAGCAGCAGAGGAAGTCATTTATTGCTGTAAAGGAAGTGAGTGACTCTTCTTGTGCTACCACAGTGTTACCTGTGCCATATTAACTTTTGTGTCAAATGCTGCAGTGTCCCAGGGCACATTTCTATTAAATCTTTGTAGGTTTTTTTGTTAAGGAGTGCCTTTCCTTTTGAGTTCTCATTTACTTTTGCTTTGACTTTTGTTAACAGGGTATTCTAATAGCTCCAAGTGAAAGCAGAGCTTCAGAAACAGCTGCACTGTTTTTGGAATCAAACAATAGCAAGAATACAAAAGAACAAGTAGATACATCTGTAACTGGTTAGTGCACTGGTATTAAGTCTTGGGCTGGGTAAATAAGAATTTCTGGATGCATTAGACTGTAGTGCATGCAGCTCTTCTCTTTAGACAAAGAAGCAAGTGATAAAACCTGCTTATCACTGATATACTGTTTGTAAGAGGAACAGAATTAAATCCTTCTAAAGGCTTTAATGAAACTTGTGTTTATGTAATCAGAGCTTAAAGTATTTGGTAAGAGAACACAACAGTGTTTTGGTTTCTCCCTTTTATGCAAAAAAGAAGATAATTATGCTGTGACTGTGGATTTCTGAAATTCACAAAGATGCTGCAAACCAATATCCAGAAATTAACATGTTTTGACCATTGTTTTCCCCCAGAATGTGTATCACTGGCACTCACTGGAACTAAACCAGAAGGCTCTGGGAAGAGTAATTCTCTGACAGAATCATCAGCTACCAGCATCGTGGATAATAATATTGCTCAAAAAAAGCCAGGTTTGCTAACCTAACTATAAATCTTCTAAGATTTTTTTTTTTTCCATTTATCTGCCTGTGCTACTACAGTGGTTTGTTTTAATGCAGGTATGATTTCATCTGCTTTATTTAGGAGTAATTGTACACGATCCCTTTTAATTATACTGATTTGCAGCTGGTGTTAACAGTTCAGTCACGTCATCTACATTAACAGTGCAACATTCTGAAACTTATTAAAACTGAAAATATTCAGGGATTGGAAAGCACCAGCCAGAATAAATAAAAAAAAAAAGAGTAAGATACTCTAGAGGATACTCTAGTATGTATACAAGGTATACCTAAAAACTGTTTCCCTGTTAAAATACCAGCTGTCAAGGGGATCATTAATAAAGTCCATATTCTGTTGGCAAAAGTCTTCCTGACTTCTTTTCATATTTGGTGCAAAGATCCAGTCACATCTATTTGTATGTTTCTAGGTGATGCTGCACGTCCAGCTTCAGAGAGGGATGGTGATTCATTTGTTTCTCTAAGTGAAGACAGCTGTAAAATTAACTTACTTCCTGCAAAACCTAACCGTCATATTACCAAAGTTCCATTGCGGGTTCCAAGGACAAAACCAGCTACTCGCCCTGTGAGCCTGCCTGTAGACCGAATACTTCCTCCATGTGTTTTGAATGAAAGAAATTCACGAAATACAGGAGCAGTAAGTCCAGAGAAGCTTGGCAGAAGCCCTACTATTGAAGAAGTTTCAGAGGTGAAGGCATTCCCTGCTGTTAATACCTGCTGCAGACTTCCTTGTTACGACACCCAGACACTGCGAAAAACTTGGGACAAGCAATATAAACAATACGATATCACAGCAAGGACGGCTATGATTATGACTAATGTACCCCAGGAGAACCGAGCACTTGAGAGTGGAACTGCAGGTGCCCTATCTCCATCATGCAGCATTGGTAACAATTCAGCTAATGCTGTGCTTCCTAGTAAGCCATATTCTGTTTCTGTCAGGTCAGGAAGGACAGCAACAGAAGGGAATGGTCCCGATGCCTCCAGGGCACCAAGAACATTGCAGCCACCCCCAGGGACATTTTATGAACCACCCTCTAACAAGTCAAAACAAAATGAAGAGGGTTCTTTTGCTAAAGCTTGTGCAGCAACCAGTGCTAGCTCTGTGCTTCACCAGGATAATACTGTGAAACTGGCTAGGAGTTCTGCGCTTCCATTAGGTGATCCTGAACAAAACACACATGAACAAAAAATTAGCTCAGAGGATATTCACCCCACAGATCTGAAGCCTACTTACCAGAGACTGAGACCAAAAAGGATCCAAGAACTGGAACACAGGGAAGCTCATTTTGTATAGGGTGCAAATTCTTGGACTGCATGCAATTTATTGATGGTGCCAGTGGAGGCTTCCCTTTGCCCCTTTATCCTCTGCCTTCCCTTGAGAATCCCACTTCTGTGCCATATTGGAGTTATTTTTATATATGCAGCATTTTAAAAGGGGGTGGGGG